GATTGTAAAAATTTCCAATAAAGTATACTTCTGTTGTTTCTATCTCCTAATGATTCAATTTTTAGAACATAGAACAACAGAGTTGGAAGGGATCTTAGAGGTCTTCTATTCCAACCCCTTGCTCAAGCAGGAGACACTATTTTAGATCTTATTTTATTTTAACAGGACGCCTTTCTTTCAACTCAGGATGTTTTTCTCACAATACCTATTAAATATTTTAAAGGATTTTCTCAAATAAAGGATGTTACGAACTAAGCAAACGCATTGGTTTTGAATCCTAATAGTTTTACTTCCACAGCAGGCTCGTAATCCTGCACTTCTCATTGGCCCGCAGTTAGCAGATCGTGATTGGTCGTCTCTGGCTAATCTGATTGGCTGACAGCAGGTCGCCGCCGATTGGACGCTTCCAGCGCAGCAAACTTGAATCATTGGACATTGTGACAGCAGCCAGCTCTATAAAAGGAGCTGCTGCTGCCCAAGCGTTTCGTTCTCTTTCTGAAGTGACTAATAAAGAGTTGAGTCACTATTCGATGTCTCGTCTCCGTTCCTTGCGCCCACTCCTCCAGATCTAACACTGGTGACGAAGGTGGGATGCGGAGACGATAGAGCTGACTGAGCACTCGCTGAGCACCAAACAGAGCACGTGGCTAAGAGCGCACCCGCTAGCGACAGAATGACCAGCAGCGCCATACCACCCGCTCCATTTGACCCGGCTAACGAAGACTGGGACTCGTATATGGACAGGTTCCAGATGTTCCTGGAGACGAACAATCTAAAAGATGCTATGCCTGGCAAGAAACGAGCTGTATTCCTGACCCATTGTGGGCCCGCCGTTTTTAAAATGGCAAAAGCACTTGTGAAACCGGCCGAAGTCAAGACAATGGATTGGGACAACCTCGCGCCGATCCTTCGGGCCCATTATGCACCAGCAGTGCCAACACTCATCAGAAGACACGAGTTTTACCAGAGGGACCAACAGAAAGGCGAGAGTGTTGGAGACTTCATCGCTGATCTCAGGAACCTGGTGGGACTTTGTGGCTTCGCAAACCTCGAGGAAGCCTTGAGAGACCGAATTGTTCTGGGCCTAGAAGACCCTACGACCCAGAGCAAAATTATGGCGAAGGGGGACATCGGCCTCGCAGATGTCATCGCCAATGCTACTGCAGCAGAAGCAACCAGGAAATCAGCCGCTCGAATGCGCCGAGCGAACGCACCGCACCGCCAACTCGCCAGTGACACTACGCCTTTCTCTGAGAAGCACACAACGACCACCCACCATGAAGACCTCGAATCCTCATCAGAAAGCGAGGAAGAGGAGGTCAACCGCCTCAGGTCAGAACGTGACCAGCGAGACCAGCGGAACCCTAAATCTTCGCGGCAATGTGCTGGATGCGGGGGTAATCACCCGCGGTCAGACTGCAAATTCCTAGACGTACTCTGCTGTTCCTGTGGAAAGAGGGGCCACATCGCAAAAGTATGCAGAAGCAAACGAGGATCCAGCCCAAACCGAAGAGAATATAATTTCTGGCAGACAACAGGCACCCCACCAATAACTCGGGACCGCCTAAACAACCAATGGAGCCACTACCACTACAGAAATAGAGCACCCGCCAATTCAACTAGACGAGAAGAGACCCATCAAACCATCACCATCGGCCACGCTTCATCCCTGGATGCAAGGAAAATCCGAATGAAGGTCACCATTGTAAATCAACCATGTGTTATGGAGGTCGACTCCGGGTCGTCCTTATCAATGGTCTCTTGGAAAACCCTCAAACAGCTGATCCCTGACATCCGTCGCCAGGACCTCAGCACTCAAAAAATCATATTAAAAGACTACCAAGGAAACAGAACCCCAGTTGCCGGTACCAGCCACGTCCAAGTATCTTTCAAAGACCACACTGCAACTCTTCCTCTTACCATCGTCGATCGAGATCGGCCCAGCTTGCTAGGCTTGCAGTGGTTCGCGCCGCTAGGAATTGAACTAGCAGGCATCCACCAGACCGGAAGCGATGACTGGGAAGCGGCCCTTGTCCAGGAATTCCAGGACGTGTTTACCGAGGAACTAGGCAAGTACAAAGGATCCCCCATATCGTTTAATCTCAGCCCTGATGTTGCGCCCATTCGCCTTAAGCCTCGTCGAGTGCCATTTGCACTCAAGCCAAAGATTGATGAACAATTGGACAAATTAATAGCCCAGGGCGTGTTGGAACCGATTGACCACGCTCGATGGGAGACCCCAATTGTAACCCCCATAAAACCTGACGGATCCTTGAGAATTTGTGGGGACTACCGGGCCACCCTAAATCACGCGCTTCAGCAGAGCGCTTACCCCGTACCTGTGGTCCAACACCTTCTTCATTCCTTGGGAGGTGGAAAAATATTTGCAAAATTGGACCTAGCCCAGGCGTACCAGCAGCTGCCCGTAGATGCACAGACTGCAGAAGCCCAGACTATAGTCACGCACAGGGGTGCATTCAAGTGTAATAGACTCCAATTCGGAGTGAGTGTAGCACCGGGCATTTTCCAAAGTCTGATGGAGAGACTGTTACAGGGCATAAAAGGGGTTGTGCCCTAGTTCGATGATGTCTTGATAGCTGCTCCCACTAGAAGCCTATTAGAAAAACGACTCAGAATGGTTCTCCAGAAATTCAAAGACGCTGGCCTGAAGGTCAAGAAAGACAAGTGCCAACTATGTACTGAGAGGGTTGAATTCCTGGGGTACCTTCTTGACAAACAAGGAATTCACCCTACTGAGAAAAAACTAGCTGCCATAAAAAACGCCCCAAGACCTAGGAATAAAACAGATCTCCAAGCCTTCCTGGGACTCATTAATTTTTATAACATCTTCTTGCCCCAGAAAGCAACTGTTGCTGAACCCCTGCATAGGCTCCTCGACAAGAAGGCGTCCTGGATCTGGGGACACCGGGAAGAACGAGCCTTTCAGCAAGTTAAAGACCTTTTAACTTCAGATGCTGTATTAATGCAATATAACGAGACTTTACCTTTAACTGTCACCTGCGACGCCTCACCGTTTGGAGTAGGAGCCATCTTGAGCCACGTCCTGCCAAACGGAACTGAGGCACCTATTGCATTTTTTTCAAGAACCTTATCTAAAACCGAGAGAAACTATAGCCAACTCGATAAAGAGGCTCTCGCTATCATGTCTGCGATCAAACGATTCCATGAGTATGTATACGGAAGACCCTTTGCCATAATCACCGATCACAAACCATTACTTGGCATCTTAGCGGGAGACAAACCAACTCCCCACATTTTATCACCCAGAATGACACGTTGGTCAGAGTTTCTGGCTGCATACAATTACCAACTACTACAACGCCCCGGAAAAGCCATTCCCCACGCTGACGCCTTGAGCCGTTCTCCGCTTCCAGAAGTCATAAGCGACCCAACTCCAACCCTAGCTGCACTACAAATAGAAACTCTTCCTTCACCACCCCTGACTGCACAGGACATCGCCTCGGAAACAAAGAAAGATCCTTGTTTGGCACGAGTCCTCAGCTGGGTGGAAAGAGGTTGGCCTGACAACGAACCCAGCGACATCCTTAAGCCTTTCAAAAACCGACAGACAGAACTTTTCTCCCAAAAAGGATGCATCTTGTGGGGAAACAGAGTCATAATCCCTGAGAGACTACAGCATAAAGTTCTAAAACTCTTGCACGATGGACACCCAGGCATCGTGCGCATGAAGGCACTGGCAAGGAGCTACGCATGGTGGCCAGGTATAGATAAGCAAATAGAGACCTGGGTGGCCACCTGCACCAAATGTCAGGAAACTCGCTCAGCTCCACCAAAAGCCCCACTGACTGAATGGGAAACGCCTCGAGTTCCTTGGTCCCATATCCACATCGATTTTGCGGGACCCACCAAGGGACACACATTTCTTATAACAATAGATGCCTATTCCAACTGGCTGGAGGTCCACAAAATGAAGAGCACCACCACAGAAGCAGTTGTCAAAAAACTAAATAGACTATTCGCTACGCACGGGTTGCCAGATGTCCTGGTCTCAGATAATGGCCCCCAATTCACTGCTCTGGCATTTGAACAGTACCTAGCAGACCGGGGAATACGCCACGCTTTAACATCGCCGGCTCACCCAGCGGCCAATGGCAGGGCTGAGCACATGGTCCAATTCATAAAGAAAATGCTACACAAGATGGAACATGGGGACATCGATGACAAGGTGACCAGGATGCTTCTCCTCCAGCATATCACCCCAAGCAGCACCACAAACAGAACCCCAGCCGAACTGCTCATGGGCCGAAAACTTCGCTCACATCTTGATCGCCTACACCCTGCCTACATGCCGGAAAAGCCCCTGGGGTCCAGCAGCATGTGTCGCACATTCAAGGTAGGCAACCTAGTCTTTGCAAAAAACTTTTCCAGTGACCCATTGTGGGTCCCTGCTACCGTAACCCAACCTACAGGCCCTCGATCCTACCGTTTACAAACTGATGATGGGAAAACATGGAAGCACCACATCGACCAACTTCGCTCCCGACTAGCACCTACCCCCGTCACAAGCCCAGAATTTCAAACCGGGGGGGGGGGGAAGGGAAACCGAAGGGACCGGAAGAGAATTAGCATACGACCCAGTAAGCGAAAACCAGCAATCAGCACAACCAACCCGGGGATACTCACCTGCCGAAGGAGAACCAAGCCA